GGCGTATGCACAACCATATTGATGCCTACTTCCATACGCCAGCTTATAGCCTTGCATGGAGATCAAGAAGTCTTCTCCTATATGACACTGATTGTCGGGGTTGGATGACCCTTTTGTCTGTCTTGTCAAGATCTAGCCTCGATGTCGGCTTCTGCTGGCTCCCGGGCCTAGCTGGTTAGTGTCGTCCAGTTGTTTCTCCTTTGATGTGTTCAAGCCAGTGGCTGCTTCGCTATGACTGGATGTCATCGTGCTCCGTCGCTTCACGATAGACCATTATGGGGTATATCATTAAGCCCCCTAGTCTAGTATTAATGAGGCAGGGTACCGAGTCATCATGTGCTAGACTCATAGATGCACGTGTTGATTTATTACTTGTCAAGTAGTTATTGCCATTACAAAACTGTCTCACTTTTTCTAGGCGCTTGATTTTCCAGGATCTCTATCCATAAATACCCTACTTCCTCTTTATACGCTTTCTTATTTCCTTCTCATTTTTCTTCTTCCCCCTTTCTTCACCTTTCAAAAAATGGCTCTCCCTGTTAGCATGATTTCTTCCCATGGTGTTATCCCGACCTCTAAGTATGATAAGACTCTCCGAGAGAAGTAGGGGTTTTAGCCGGAGGGTGGATTACTTGTCTCGTTGGACGATGCCTCCTTTCTGGAACCTCCTCTGGGAAAGGTTGGTGTCTATGTCAGGACCTTTGATGCCAGCTACCGGCTTCCGACCACTGATTTTTTCGATGGGGTGCTTCGTAAAAACGGGGTCAATGTTTACGACCTTACTCCCATTGTTGTAAACAGGGTAATTGCTTTCGAGATGTTGTGTCAATCTCCGAGTTTTCTTCCAAGTCTCTTGGTTTTCAAGAACTACTTTCGTTTTTCTACTGTTGGTGACAAGTTTGTTGGATTAGGTGTCTAAGCCCATAACTATAATTGGTATGTACTTGACCCGAGAGTAGCATAGTCCATTTTGGGTTGCATATCACCAGGACAATTTGATAGGATGGACTTTTGAGAAGAGGTTATTTATGATTTATTAATATATTATAAGTTCTAATATATTAATATGAAATCATATGAATTAATTAGTACTGATCAAGAATTAATTTAGTGATCAAAAGAGACTAATTAATTTAATGGGGACTAATTGCATAAATTAGTTATATATATGGTTTGGGCTTATGATACATGATGGACTAAGTTTATGGAAGAATCCATAAAGAGTTAGCCCACTTGATTCATGGATCATGGATAATAAGCCCAAGGGTATGGATTAGTGTAACATCCCAAAATTCAAGACCAAAAATTTCGTTTTAAGTAAGTTATTATATAAAACCAACAGTATAAAAACATTCATATTAATATCTCATGTCAAAACCAAAGTAGAATAATCAAAACATGTTATCATAAAACAATATCAGAGTGTAATCCCAAAGATCTCAAGTGCGGAAAACCATAGTGTGATGCACTGCGATTGAGCTGGCTCCTTTCCTTTGAAAACGAAGTACCTGAAACCAAAACTGAAAACCGTAAGCACGAAGCTTAGTGAGTTCCCCCATCATACCACATACCATACAACACATGATATACATACTGCCAGACATATCTGGGTGCCCGACCTACCCCTTCGGTCCTCTCGACTGGTGACCTTGCCTAGCATATCTGGGTGCTGGCCTACCCCTTCGGTCCTCTCGACCGGTGACCGGGAGCTGGCCTCCCCGTCGGTATCTTTCAACCGGTAACCGGGGACTATTTCTCCCCTACCACTACCACATAAAACCCTAGCATATAAACATAAATCACATACTGCCTAGCATATCTGGGTGCTGTCCTACCCCTTCGGTCCTGTCGACCGGTAACCGGGGACTATTTTACCCCCTACTACTACCACATAATATCATATCACATATATCATAATCTGGCTAGCATGGCTGGGTACTAAACTACCCCTTCGGTCCTATCGACCGGTAACTGGGGACTATTTCACCCCTACCACTACTATCACATAACATCATATCATGCTAGAACATAAAACATATCAAGTAGCAGCAAACCTAGATGAATATCACAAAGACAATCATCTAACATACAACTCCTACTGGTGGGCCGACATTGTGGCCGTAGACCCACCGCTACTGGAAGGTAACTCACCTCACACTGCTGAAGTCCCGTAGACACAATCCCAGCTGCTGGATGACAGACTCTTGATCTGTCAATATCAAACATCACCCAATTAATAATTGGGTTCCAACACATGTCCATAAGTCCATGTTGGGGTAAAAGACTGCTTTACCCCTATCTTGGCTTGATTCAAGCCCAATGCCCAATCCATAGGCCCAAAATCAACTAGGAATCAAAGCCCAACATATGGCCCAATTTTCCAAATTGGGCCCAAGCCTATTCATGGTCTTATTCTAGGACCAACACCATATAGTCATTAAGGTCCAAACTATGGCCCATCTATGGCCCAATTTTCCAAATTGGGCCCAAACCCCTTACATGGGCCTTACCCCAGGCCCATTAAATGATTTTAGCCCCTTTGCTTGTTCTTGGATGGCCCATTATTATCCCAATCATCAAAGCCCAATAGAAAGGCACAACTTAAGGCCCAAGTGAAATTAGGGTTTCACATAAAATGATGATTAGGGTTAAGTTTTCCTACTTAACCCATTAAGGACTTAGTCCATTAAGTGCTACATGGCCTTAGGTTAATTTGCAATGATTATTAATTAATAGTTTAAGTTCATTAAATAATTCCGATGCGGTCCCAATAAATCCCAAATTAGGGTTTCATGGCATTAGGGTTTTCCAAACCCTAATTAGGGTTTCAAACCCATATTAGCCCAATAGGCCCAATAGCTAAGTCCTTAGATCTATTAGGGTTCGTTAAGCCCATTAGTCACATGCTTGAGCTTTTTAGGTCAACTAGGGTCCAATAGACTCATTAGGGTTTCACTGGGCCCATTAGGGTTTCACTGGGCCCATTAGGGTTTCAAGCATCCCAAATGAATCAAACTCAACAAGGCAAGCACACCGCCACCCGACACGGCGGCCGGTGGCGGCAGCCACCACCCTAAGGTGGTGGTTTTCAATTTCTTTCCATTATTCCATTTTTACAATTTACAATGAAAATATCAAAATAAACTCACACACACACTACACTAAAATAAACACATACACGCAACCACCCTTGTGGTGCCCACGGTGGCACGTGGCGGCAGCCACCACCTCAAGGTGGTGGCAGTGGCTTTTTCCGATCCACAAAACACATATACAACCTCATAACAACCGGAAACATCAATAACATATGAACACGCACCCATATATACACCCACAGCCACCATCCAAGGTGGCTGGTGGCGGCGGGATAAGGAAGAAACGGCAGCGACGGTCCAGTGGTGGATTGCGGTGACAGCCACCATGGCCGGCTGCCATGGTGGTTCTTCACGGATCCTACTCGACATAGGCCCAAACCTACGAACACAACAGCACTTCGGGGTAGTAGATGTTGACCGGAGCAACGAAATGAAAGTCCCGTGAGCGGCGGCGGCAACCAAAACGCGGCGAGACATCGGCCAAGAACAGCGGTGGCGCAACAGTGGAAAGAAACAGAGACGGAGGAGGTTGGCGACCCAAATAGTGAATAGCAGCAACACAATCCTTGATCTCCCCGACCAACCCGCATCGGCTCGTGGCTCCTCGTCTTCAACGGCGGCGGTGGTGATCGAACTCGACCTCACAGCGGCGGCCGGAGGTTGAGGGTGGAAAGGGTGGCGGCTGGAGCTCCATAGTAGGGCTAGGGTTTAGTGGCCGGTGGTGTTATGCTTATATACCCGATCCCATAGATCTTGTCCCCATAATGACGCCTTTAGTCCCTCCCTTCCTATTTTCTTTCAAAGTAAGGCCAATATTTACCATTTAAACCCTCAACATTAAAATCCTTTACATCTTAGGTACAAAATCTACCAAACAGCCCCTAATATCTTAATTATGACATATTCAGCCCTTCCACCTCATTTCCTTTTAAATTAATTCAAAATAATTACCACGGAGCCCCTGTCTTCATAAATATTTATAAACTGAGTCCGGAACTTACACTTTTAACCCCTGACTTCTAAAATTGTAGCAATTAACTCCTCGAGACCAACACCTTGCTATATAATTATTAATTCTAGGGCTACGGTTCGTTCATTAACTTATTTATTTAATAAACAGGATGTTACAATTAGGGTTTACCATGACCTTTAGAATCCTACAACTATATATATGATGTCCCATGACCTAAAATGTGCGACTAGATGTTCTAAGAGTTCATAGAGCCGATTTCTAGTGCAAGAATACTCTCTCTCAAGTCCTCCTTTGTCCTAGGTGTGTTGTGAACTGTTTGAGGCATCACACTTGGGGTGCTAAGTTCTTAAAGGCCAAAACTATAATCTACAACAAAGAGGTAATTCTATAACTCACTTTTATGTTGATTATGTCAATTGTATGCTAGTTGTAGGCTTTATGCTTTGGAAATAATATTGCATGTATAATTAGAGAAAACATAGATACAAAACATTTAGGGTTGTATGTGCACCATAGGATATTATAGTATACAAAACCCAACAAAGTTTACTTTCTACACCCGGAAAAATGCTCACATTCTTGTTCCTGACGGGAAGAGAAACCCGAAGAACTTGCAAAATCATTGGTTCTAGGTGGATAGCGCTCGAGTTGGGGGTCCCTACATTCGAACTGAAACAACTTTTGATAGTGCCCCCAAACTTTTTGGTCCGGATCAAGAAATTGTTCATCTTCTGGTATAGTTTTACCATTGTTCCCAAGGAGTTCCCTGAGTGTGTTCATGCTGGTGCGGGGATGAGAACCGAGTGGCGGCGGCGTCAAGAGATGCATGAATTTTTTGTTGTCAATGGAGGTAAGGTTTTTTGTTTTTGACTTTTCTCTTCCGTTTCTATTCTTATTCCATTCCTCCACCCCCCTTTCTTTTTTAAAAGGTAATGATTGCCTTTCAGGGGAGAAACGGGTGTTGTCTTTCTCTGATGTGCTTGGGCGGAGATTCCAAGGGGACTTACAGTTTCTACCAGTTACTCTTCGCGAAAGCCTTCCCCCTCCCTGCCGAAAATTTTCTCAGGGATTCACTTCTTCTTCTTCTGTTTTCGTTGCCTTCGTACTCGACTCTTGCCGGTGAGGCGCCTAACAACCCGTCTGGTGTGCCTCTTGTCGTGCTTCCTCCCCCCGCCCCCTCTGAGGTTTTGGAGCATGTGGAAGTTAACAATTAGGGAATTTTGGCGGGTGCAACGTCTCATGTGACGAGACAAAAAGAGGACTTATGAGCCTTGTGACTCTTTCTAAAGTGGCCAAAGGAAAAATTGTTTCCAACCGCTATCGCCAACGCAAGTTTGCCACCAGCTTCATTACCAGATTGTTACCTTTCTAGTGAAGAGGTAATAAGTATCCTTGATGAAGATACACACCAATACGAAGGTATACCAGGGGCGTCTAACACCAATACGAAGGTATACCAGGGGCGTCTAACACCAATACGAAGGTATACCAGGGACGTCTAAGCAGCCCATCCTGAATAAGGATCCTACCGTGACCGGCCCAACAGAGCCACCGCCGGTCCACAAAGGTAAGTCTCCTGTTGTTTCGGAGACATCTGAATATGATGAACTCATTGCCAGCTTCCAAGGCAAAAATCTTTCTTCCAACTATCCTTTCATTCCTAAATGGAATCTCACTGACAAGACTCGTCTCTCCCAACAAGAAGTTGTTGCTGAGTTTTCACATCATGCCTTCCTTAAGGGAACTGTTTCTGAGATGGAGGCTTTTACCGACGACCAAAAAATTGATTCTATGGAATTTGCTTATGCTAAAACGCCTTTTTCCTCACTGCAGGGGCTCACCACATTCGTCGTCTAAAAAGTGTAGTTGTCAAGATTCGTGTGAATGAAAGGGGTTTCCAACAACATGTTGCTTCTTTCGAGTCCTCGTAGAGGCCTCTCGCCAACAATTAGAGTTGTTGGCTGGCGAGAAAATGACCCTTGAGGTGCATTGTTCCCAAGTGGATTCAAAGCTTGGTAATACCATCCAGCAGAATGAGGCATTGAACATTAGTGTGGAGATTCTGAAGAGAGAGTTGTTGGATAAGGAGAAATTGTTGATTGATCGTGAGGCAGAGTTGTCCTGACCAGTGAATGACTTAGACTGGTTGGTCAAGGGCGGAATAGTAAGGATTGTTGACAAAATCATTGAGCTTCCAAATTTTTTGTAGGGCGTAGGATGCATCAAGACCATGTGTGTCGCTGCTGGTGAGGAGTCTTGTAACACCGAGTGTAGGTAATCATTGCACTAAGTTAAATTTAGAAGTCTCACCTGGCTCACGACGTGAGCTATGCTTGTTACGTCGTGAAGGGTGTGTTTGAAGAAGTGCATCATCTTTGGGCTCACGACGTGAGCATATATGGCTTACGACGTGAACCTGATCTGAGAGGATAACCCTAATTTTGAGGCTTGTGTTCATATTTAAAGAGAAGTGAGGGTTAGGGTTAGCCCACCCTCAGCCTCCATCACCTCTCAATACTTCCCTTCGACCCATGGATATAGTGAGAAAACTCACCTCACAGTCTGAAAGAATAACTACACCGATCACTGTTCTAAAAGCTATCTCTACCGGTCACTTGTACAATTAACAGGAACCCAAATCTCAAACTATAAATCAAATTACCCAAAATGCCTTTAGGTCAAACTTGGTCAATCCAGGTCAAAGTCAAAGTCAACGGTCAAGGTCCAAGAGTCAATACTTCTTCCCAGAGGAGTACACCCTGCGTACCAAGAGAGTACGCCCATCACACTCAGATGTTGACCAAAAGCGGGGAGTTGACCGCGTACGCGCAACGTACCACCAGGTACGCCCAACGTACGCAGCCCAGTCCCAAAACTCCATTAAGAGCTTATTCTATTAAGCCCTTACGTCCAAAACTCAGATCCAAGCTCAAAATGATGTCCTAAGTCATAAAGTTTCCAACTTTATGACTTTGCATGGCTATAAGGTGCTTAATGTCCAAAACCTTAAGTTCTTAACCCAATAAGACATCACAACTCTTATATGGAAGGGATAAAAGGGCCACGATCACATTTTTTATGGTTCATAATAGCTCCATAATGGATAAAGTTTCCAACTTTATCCATTAGAACGGTCCCAACAAACAAGATCTAGTCATTAAGTCTCAAAGGGGACCCAAAGTGCATCTTTTTTAACTTAATCCATTAAGTACAAGTCTTTAATCTTCATATCTTAATCAATATGATGTTTAGATGGATAAAGTTTCCAACTTTATCCATAACAAGGTCAAAAACTTTCAAGACCTAAACTTTATGCATTTAAAGTGACAAAAAGCTCATAACACCCAAAACTAGATAGAGCTAACAATTTCATCATCAAGATTCAAACTTTATACCTCTAGAAGAAAGATCAAGGTGAACAAAGTCGCGATTTACAAGCTCCAATGCAACCAACACTTCTTCAATGAGTTCCTTCTTCTCAAAGGTGCTCCAAGAACACTCCAAAGCACTTAAAAACACCTTCTTTTTTCTCACAAGGCTCAATATAGGGTTAGGGTTACAAGAGAGGGTGTTGAAGAGGTGGAGGCTGAGAATGGAATGGGTTTAGGGGAGTTAAGGAGCTTCAATAGGGCTCAAACCACGAAAATAGGGTTTGGGTATTGATCGCGTACTCCCTGCATACTCCTAGTATGCTAAGCGTACCAGGGATGCCCTAGTACGCCATGGGTACTCCTCGTATGCCCTGCGTACGCGGCTAACCCAAAAATCGTCCTAACTTCAAACAGTCGTAACTTCTTCGTTCCAACTCCATTTTCGACGTACTTTATATCCACGAAAAGGAAATGAGAAGCTCTACAATCCTATCAACTCTCCTTTGCCATAAAACTTTTCCAACTTAAATCCAAAATTCATAAAAGGAACGAACTATCACTTTATGGTTATACCCTCTAAAGCACCAATCGAACTCTCAGATCACCTAATCTTCATTACCCACATCCAAAGGGGTCTAAATCTATCTTTCCCCCAAGGCCTGAAGCCTTATGATAACTAATCTTCGGGACACGGCGCCGAATTATGAATTGATTCGAAGTAGGGTGTTACAAGGGCATCTCTAGTACGCTGGGTGTACCTGGAGTACGCATGGCATACGCGATTAGTGCCGAAACCCTATTTTTGTGGTTTGAGCCCTATTTAAGATCCTTAACTCCCCAAACCCATTCCATTCTCAGCCTCCACCTTTCCAACACCCTCTCTTGTAACCCTAACCCTAGACTGAGCCTTGTGAGCAAAAAGAAGGTGTTTTTAAATTCTTTGGAGTGTTCTTGGTGCACTTTGGAGAAGAAGGAACTCATTGAAGAGGTGTTTGTTGCATTGGAGCTTATATATCTAGATTTTATTCACCTTCATCTTTCTTCTAGAGGTATAAAGTTTGAATTTTGATGATGAAATTGTTAGATCTAGCTAGTTTTGGGTGTTATGAGATTTTGGTCAATTTAAGTGCATAAAGTTTAGATCTTGAAAGTTTGTGACCTTGTTATGCATCTAAACATCATTTTGATTAAGGGAAGAAGGTTGGAGACTTGTACTTAATGGATTAAGTTGAAAAAGATGCACTTTTTGGGTCCCTTTCAGACTTAAAGACTAGATCTTGTATGTCGGGACCGTTCTAATGGATAAAGTTGGAAACTTTATCCATTATGGAGCTATTATGAACCATAAAAATGTGATCATGGCCCTTCTATTCCTTACATACAAGAGTTGTGATGTCTTATTGGGTTAAGAACTTAGGGTGTTGGACATTAAGTACCTTATTGCCATGCAAAGTCATAAAGTTGAAAACTTTATGACTTAGGACATCATTTTGAGCTTGGATCTGAGTTTTGGACGTAAGGGCTTAATGAAATAAGCTCTTAATGGAGTTTTAGGACTAGGTTGCGTACGATGGGCGTACCTGGTGATACGTTGCACGTACGCGGTCAACGTCCCGCTTTTGGTTAACATCAGAGTACGTTGGGCGTACTCTCTTGGTACGCAGGGCGTACTCCGTTGGGAAGAAATATTGACTTTTGGATCTTGACCGTTGACTATGACTTTGACCAAGTTTGACATAAAGGCATTTTGGGCAATTTTGTTTTATAGTTTGAGATTTAGGTTCCTGTTAATTGTATCGGTGACCGGTAAAGATAGCTTTTAGAGAAGTGATCGGTGTAGCTATTCTTTCAGACTGTGAGGTTAGTTTTCTCACTATATCCATGGGCGAAGGCACCAATGTCGGCCCATTACTTGTTATGTGGAATGCTAGTTGTCTCTGTGATGCTTGCATGAAAGACCAGGATCTGGCCCCTGGCAATTGTACGAAAGACCAAGATCTAGCCCCTAGCAATTGTATGAAAGACCAGGATCTGGCCCTTGGCAGTTGTATGAAAGATCAGGATCTGGCCCCTGACACTTGTATGTAAGACCGGGATTTGGCCATCGACATTGCAAGGAAAGACCGCGGGGGTAGCCCATGATACTTGTATATTTTGGTATGTGGTATTTTGGGGAACTCACTAAGCTTTGTTCTTATGGTTTCATATTTACGGTTTCATGTACTTTCGGTTCAAAAGGGAAGGGCCCGACGTGACTGCACAACATCCCCCAGAGTTTTCCGCATTGACAATTAATGATATTACTCTGATGTTTAAATAATATATTGACTTTCATTGGTTTTGGAACAACTCGTTGTAGGATTATTGTTTTAAAAATGAAAATTTTACCTTGGATTTTTGGGACGTTACAAGTCGTCACTCTCTCTCATTCCCAAACCAATCGCTATGAGTAGGTAGTCGTAGTTTCCGTCGATAATAACCGCTATGAACATTGAGCCTAATAGTTCTCATTTAAAAGGACACTAAAGATCATTGGTAGCATGTACATAAGAAATGCTTAAATCTATAAAAACAATGATACCAATAAAATTATAACAAATATACAAGGTATATATTACAAAATGACCAAGAGTCATGAAACAAAACTCAAATATTAACGAAAAACAAAGTGTTTATGCTAAAATTCACTATATTGATTTTCGAAGATACCTTTAAAATCCATAGTGTTTTTGTTTATATATCCCACAAGTATATGATACGAATGTAGTTAACGTGCATAAGATTATTGTTTGGAAATTACTAAAATTTTATTTTTAAAAGGCCTAGTATAAAAGTTCCGTGAATTGCTTTACACTTTTGTGAATTAACCAAAATAGATAATCTATTAGAAACAAAATGACCATAAGAATAACAATCTTAAACAAATGTTAATAAGTTCTACTCCTATTAACAAAAGAATCTCAATCTATAAGTATGTGATCTAGTCGAATATTGACAAAGGGAATATATGGCTGTTAATTTAATATTTTAAAACAAGATTTCGATCAAACAAAATCTCATTATAATTTTTTTTTTGTTCTAGAGAGATATAGATCTAATGTTGTAGCGTGAAGGACACCTCATATGCGCATACAATAAGAACTCATGTTTGACCAAATCTATTATCTAATGTTGTAGCGTGAAGGACACCTCCTATGGTTTTATATATATTTTTTTTCATATTTCTTAAAAAAAAATATTGTTTAAACGTATTTTTAAGGATTGTATCCCCTTGTATGTATGTTATGATTAAATGTTTGCATGTTGTTAAAAATGATGTTATTTTCTATGTCTCAATCATAGCATACAATAGCAATGTACTATCGATTTGAATAAGTTTTTATGTTTATAATGTGTAGATACTTTGAAGTATAGTGTATTGATAAAATAAGATTGTGTTTTGGTACTTTCGGGTTTGTTATAAAATATGTTATTGTCACACCATTT